CTGGATAATTTACTGTATTTTAGCGCGCCCGTCCTGTCTTTGCCTTTGGGACTCGGCGCCTGTGGCATGCAAGCTAGAAGAGAGGGCTTGGTCGAACGGCGCTAATGCTGGAATGGCGTATGAATATTTATCTCTTTTTATCATCTACCGATGTGTTAGGGCCATGGTTATAACGGGCGGTGCAGTCTAGGGGGTATTATATTTTATCGTTATATCCATTATGTGTCGTTTTGAAATGTGTTTTTCTTTGGGTGTGTGGTCGTCACTCGATTGGGTATAATGGATTACACTGTCATTTTTTAAATTAATGTGTTTTTCTTTGTCTGTCGGGTCAGTTTCGGTGTTGTATTTTAAACACGTGTCGTTTCTTAAATGTGGTTTTGTTTGTGTGGTGAGGGTGGTCTATTTGTTATTTTATTTTATAATGTTCCGTTTTTGTAAAATGTGTTGTTGTTTTTTTTTCTTAGTGTCTGGTCGTTAATGATAGGAGGGCACGTAAGGACGCCATCTATAGGTACCACCTTTTGACTCATTAGTTTCTGTCTGTCTTTCGTAAACCAGACTTGTTATATATTTGAAATTAAAGACTAAACGTATTTAATGAATCAAAGGCTATTCACAATTTTAGTGGGTTGTTGGCGACTGCTCTGGTGTGGTTTGCTTCTTCTTTCCTATCAAACATCTATCGTCCTTATCTCCTCTTCTTTTTTATATTTGTTACTCTCTTGTATCACCACTAATCTCCTGGCGCTCATATATGACCTCATGCAGTTGCGAGTTGCGAGCACCGTAAAACCTCTACTAAAACTAAAGCTAAGACAGTTTTGTAATGTTTTTGGTTTGGACAAGTTGAAGCACACGCCATTGATAACCTGTATGCCGATTTTATTTTTTTTGGGGGGGGGGGGGATTTTGTTACCTTTTTTTTTCTCTTAATAAGTATTGCATAAGCAGATTCTCCACACGCCTGACCGTATTTTGATTTGGTCGATAATCGAGGTCACCCTCCCTACATCACGTGACATAAACAAACCCGCTCGCTGAGTGGCGAGATACCGTTGCCTAGGCATAGCTTGCTGACTGCAGTGTGTGTGTGTGTGTGTGTGTGTGTGTGTGTGTGTGTGAAGTGTGCACGCCGAGGTTGAGTGTGTTCTGGGTGGGCTTGGACGGGCAGCAGCTGCTGCAGATTTTACTTTAGATAGGCCTAGAGACATTCAGCCTTGGTGCTCGCGTGCGCCATGAATGGTTGGTGCGCAGAAACCTCTTTGTCATGGTTAAAAATAGAGCGTGCTTGCTGTTATGTCGCCTCAGCTGCTGCTGAGCTGTCACTAGATCTAGATTTAGTACTTTTGTGTGGTGACTTCTTGTAAGGTCCTACTTTTCTCCTAACCCCGTACTAGCTTTAAACGATTTGTTCCTACGATCCTTCTGATTGCGTGACCTTACTTACCGCGTCGTTCACGAGTGTATGTTTATCGTTGTGTCAACTACCGTCTTGTGAGTGTATGGGGGGTGCCACTGGTTGGTTTCAACTTCTCTATTTTGGCCCTTTTGTGTGTCTGTTTTACTTTTCCCTTTCATGAACTGGCTGTTTTTTTGTGTCTATGTGCTTCACTTTATTCATACTGTTGTTTGTTATTATTTTTTAAAAAAATTGTGGTTTTTTTTTTTGGGGGGGGGGGGGGGAAGATCGTTACATAATTTTTCATGTGCTTCCTCTCATTCTTGTCCCCCTCCCCCTTTTTTTCTCCTTCTATTTATTTATAGTCTGCTAAAAATACATAATCCATCCACAATGTCAGCATCCTAAATTACATCGATCAATCTCAGAACTGCAGTGTGCACTGGTACGATTTCGATGTCGGCACCTTGTATCGTTTGATCGATAATGTTTCATTATGGGTACACACACTTGATCGTCTGCTTACCCCCCCCCCCTCCTTTTTTTGGATGGTCGCTCGCTTTCCTTGTAATGTCTTCTCTCTCTTTTTGATGGTATCGTTTCAGTTCCCCGAAATGTTAAATAGATTCTCTTATTCTAGCCTCAGGGAGAAAAAAAAAAGAAAAACCCATTTGTGTCTGGCCAATTCTCACAATGTCTCAAGTCTTCGGGTTTGGGCGCGAGCATTTGGCTGATACGGCGTTCCACCCACCATCCACAAAACTACACACACATACACAGACATGGACACACACACACACACACAGACATGCACACATACACACACACACACACACACACACACCCTCACACACGCGCACACACACTTACATACACTCGCACGCACGCACGCACACACACACACACACACACACACACACACACACGCACACACACACTTATTATATGCACTCACACACACACACACACTTTTTTTCCAAACAGACGCTTTTATGCATATATCCCATGGCTTTTCGAGCTCTGTTCCCTTCACTGAATGGTATGGTATATAAGTCGTCTGTGGCTAAACCGAGACTATATACAATTACCATATTTTTTTGTGTGCCTTTGGCACGGGTGGTTCTCTCTCTCTCTCTCTCTCTCTCTCTCTCTCTCTCTCTCTCTCTCTCTCTCATACACACACTCACACATGCGCGCGCGCACACACACAGGCACATACCACCCATTGTTGTTGCGACCCCCAAAAGTGCCAAAAGCCATTTTCCTCTCGCTGTTACCCAAGCTTATATATATAAATTCTGGGTGCTTTATTCCTCCTTTCATGTCAGTTATCGTCATCTCGACTCCTCCTCTTTATATTTTTGCATCCCACTCTTTTGTAACACCTAATCTTTGGTGCTTATATATCATATGACCCATTTGTGTTGCAAGTGCCTTAAAAAAACTCGGACTGCTAAACAAACGAGTGAATTTTAGTTTGCCTTTTGACTGTTGAGGCAGACAGCTAACTATGATGTGTATTACCAGCTTGGGGCAGCCCCTAGCGGCGTCTGTCTGTCCTAGAAATTCTTCTTTTTTTGTTTATGGCGGTTGTTGTGGCATGTTTAAAATAAATGTGCACACGTGCTTGCCAATGTGACATACGCTTGCAGACGCAAGTACACCATTTTTCCCCGTTGGCTCTTTACTCTTTTTTACGTCTGTCTGTCTGTCTCTCTGTCTCTCTCCCTTTAAAGTTTTTTCTTTCTCTCTGTCATCTGCCCTATATCCCCCCCTCTTGCTCTCTTTCTCTCTGGCTCTCTCTGTTCCTTCTTTCTCCCTCTGTCTGTGTGTGTGTATGTGTGTGTGTGTGTGTGTGTGTGTGTGTGTGTGTGTGT